CCCGGGCAGGAGCCCTGTCCGGTGGCTCAGTGGTTACAGCAGCGGCCCTCCCTCGGGGGAAGGGTCTCCAGTTCAATTCCCAGTCAAGAGCATGTACCTCATGGTTGTAGGTCCCATCCCCAGCCCCAGGCAGGGCATGTGCGGAAGGCAACCAATCGATGCCTCTCTCTCTCTCTCTCTTTCTCTCTCTCTCTCTCTCTCCCTCCCTCCTCCCCCTCCTTTCTTCCCTCCCTCCCCACCTCCTCCCTCCCTTTCACTCTCTAAAAAAAGCAATGGAAAAAATATCCTCGGGTGAGGATTAAAAAAACAAAACAATTGACTTTGTGTGCATTGCCTCCACGTGTAAAGAACCAACTGAAAGGAAGGTCTTATTTTAAATCACTGCCATGGCAGCTACAATCCCACCTGAGCACCGTGTCCCTGCTGAGGCCCACACACGGAGGATGCACACAGCTGTACCACCCAAACGTCCCCTTTCACACCAGCAAGCACCCTGTTCTGTACCCGGGACCTGTCGGCAGGCCCTGCACTCACCGCGACCGCCAGCGCCATGAGGATGAGCACGGGGACGTGCAGCAGCCCCGGGATCTCCTTCATGAGCGCTCTGATGAACTCCCCGGCTCCCTTCCCGATGTACTTCAACGGCTCCACCACGAAGTTGGTGAACGTCACTGCCAGGGCCTACAAACGGTAAAAGCAACTTCATTTTCCCCCTCAAACGATGGAGGCACATAGAATGAGCCAAACTGCCCTGGGCACTGAGACTGCAGTCATGTTACATACATTACAATGTTGTCATATGCTTTTAAAAATGTGAGAAATCACTGTGCAATGGAAGTATATTCTTTCTAGAACAAAGGTTATTAGCAAAAAGACTCTTAAAAAAAACACAACTAACCATTTTTGCCCTGGCCAGGTAGCTCACCTGGTTAGAGCACCACCCTAGATACACCAAGGTTGCGGGTCCGATCCCCAATCAGGACACACACAAGAATCAACCAGTGAATGCATAAATAAGTGGAACAAACTGATGTTTCTCTCGCACTCCCTCTCTCTCAAATCAATAACTAAAAATTAAAAACACCTACAGTTTTTAATATATGCAAGGCTGTTTGGACTTACTTTGTATACGTCATTGTTACAAGACGTATTCCATACCTTGGTTGGTGGTACCAACAGAACAGGATTGACAAGTAAGAGCTCATAGTACTTTTGGCACGGGTCATCCTTGTAGGTCCAGGAGCTTCTAAACCATTCTGTTGGAGAAAGACAAAACACTGTCATTTCAACAGAGCTGCATTTCACCCCTGCCACCACCACTAATCAATTTTAAATTGTTTTACAAAACAGACTCCCTGTGATGCCAATTTAAAAATTTTTTCATTGTATGTCCAAAATGTTTCTTTTAAAACCCATTCAAATTCTACAAATCCTATGCAGGTAACAGATGATGTCACAAAGATTTCTGAAAGGTAACTATCTGAAAACGGGCGCTCTGAGTGAGGCTGGACTGTATCGCAGTCCCTGTCCAGGCTGGGCCCCTGGACTGGTAGTCATGCTTCCACCAGGGAGGGCACACAGCACCTCCCTGTGTTCCTTCTTACAACTACCTGTGAATCTACAATAATGTCACTTTAAAAGTCAGTCCTCTCCTCATTTTATAAAATGAAGTAGAACATTAGTTCTCCCAACTCTTCTAAATCAGGCTCACATGACGTACTAGCCTGAGTCAGAGGAGGCATCTGGTTGTCCATGAAGCCACGAAGCAAAGCTGGGGTGGTTTAGTTCCCATAATGTCTTAAGAAACATTAATTTTGGACACCTGATTAAGAATCTGCTGAAATTCTGTTCTGGATTAGTCATCAGGGACTTGCATTTATGTATAAAGTGTCTTTGAACATTGAACCATTTCCACTGCTAGATATACATAACTAAAGGCAGTCAACATTACTGAAAATATTTATAAAAATCTGTACCAAAAAAAGTAATTTCCCCTAGTTAAAAAAAAATAGTAAAGCTACAATATAAGATGTCGTAAGTCAATATAAGGAGATTAAGTCTAAATGGATATTCATTTATATAGAGAGATTCACTTCTTTAATAAACTCATGTTGAGGACCTAGAATGAGCGAGACCTTGTGCGACGGGCAGGTGGGCATGGCATCCTCAGGCGACTGGAGGGAGACAGGCCATACCAGCCAGCGAATATACAGTGTCTAGTCCTGCCCTGTGACGTCACATGAACACAAAACTCACTGGATGGAAATCTAAGACTTTTTTTTTTTAAATAGGAATATTTATAAATGCTGCTTATTAGCTTGACTTTATAAATCAAAGTGCTGGCAAGCATTTTTTAATATTTCCTTCATGTTAAGAAAAATGTATATACGTGTTTGTTCAATAACTCTAAAAATCCCCATCTGTCACCCCCCCCTCCTCTGCCTTCTTCCCTCCCAATCCAAAAAACAAAATAAGGGAAATATAGTGAAAGTATACAGTACTTTAATATAATTAAAATGCATGATATACAGGGCTGGGCAAAAGTAGGTTTATAGTTGTGAGTACATGACGCAGTTTTTTCTTGTATTATTATTCATTATTGTATTATTTCCTTGTATTACAACTGTTTTTCCCCAGCCTATATATATCAAGGACCGGCAGAGAACGGAAGCCTTGAATATAACTGAGAATTAGGTTATGTTTTATCCACAAATATAGTCAATGTGTTCTTTTTATAATTTAGCATATTCTAAATAAATAATCCAAGATGCCATTTTGATACAGTAAACTGTGGACAATGTATATAGTTGCATTTTTATATCTCTATGTGATCATACTGATAAACTGAGAAAAATGACACCCCAAGATACACCATCCGGTTTATATACATTAGGTACAAGAGTCAGAAACCTGGGTCAATTTTAAGTATTCTTACTGCTTCAAGCTATCAATTTTAAGACAATTTAATTTACTTCTGTTTACCATCCATGCTTGAAAATGATCAGCTATTGCCAAAATAAAGGCCCTTTACTGGAGGGTAGTAAAGAGTAAAGGGGGTCAAATATATGGTGATGGAAGATTTGACTTCAGGTGGTAAACATACAATGCAATCTACAGATGATATATCACAGAATTGTACACTTAAAACTTATAAAATTTTATTAACCAATGTCACTCCAATAAATTAAAAAATAAAGTCATGCCCTAGCTTGTGTGCTCAGTGGACAGAGCATCAGCCTGCAGACTAAAAGGTTCTGGGTTCAATTCCAGTCAAGGGCTCATGCCGGGGTTATGGGCTCGATCCCCAGCAGGGGGCGTGCAGGAGGCAGCCGATCAATGATTCTCTCTCATCACTGATGTTTCTCTCTCTCCGTCTCCCTTCCTCTCTGAAATCAATAAAAATATTTTTAAAAAATACATAAAGTCGTAACAAAGGATCAAAAAATAATTTATAATTAACAAGACTGTCTCTTCTCCTGATTTACCTTTGAAACCTCAGTCTTCCTGCTTCTTCTGATGCTGAAGATTCAGTCCTGGAAACCCTCCTTCTGCTATTTTATCATTTCTTTGCCATTTTTAACATGTTTTCTCGTTCTCAAAAAGTCTATTCAAAGTAAGGCCGCGGGAAGCAGCAGCACTTACCCCAGAGGCTGCCAGACCAGTCCATCTTCTCAGCACACACGTTGCTGCGCGGCTCCATCCTGGCGACTTCGGCCTGATGCTGCGCGAAAGCCACCTGACCAACACCCAGGGAAGCGTGAGCGCTGCCAGCAATGGTTACGCCCCGCCCCCCAAACGCCGCAGTTCGGACACCAGGTCGTTTAAAAGGTTTAACAGAACAGATGCACCTCGTTTCTAAAGAGAGGCTCTTTAGCTCACGGCAAAGCAGTGTTAATGCCAAGCCCCGATAAAGACCGAGTACAACTGACTTCTTACGGAATTAAGATGAGGAAGGAGAACCTTGGCACTAATTTTAAAAAATTGGTTCAAATATGGTTCACACCACACCCCAAAATATCGCTGTGTGTTAGATGCTGCTGCTCAGCTCACGGTAAGATGGGGTTTTGCTTTGGGTGTTTTTCAGTGCAAGTGGCCTATAAACGATAACATATCTTTTATAAATTAAAGCCCCGGGGAAACCAGTGAGATGACCGCATTCAACCAAACAACTTCCTTCCTTTAATTTTAAATAATTACAAGTTCTAGTAACTTAGAGCAAAAGGCTTTAAAAAATCACAATGGTCTAATCCGATGAATTCATTAAAAATATCAGGCTGTTTGACTCCCCTGCTAGACAGACCTGAAACTGTGCTGTAATGATTAGACCACTGTGACAGGAGCAGCAGCGCGTCTTTCAATCTCTATATACAGCACGGTCCCGATTTTTTTTTAGGTTTAGAGTTATCAGCCTGATTTCAATTTTGAAAGAGTTAAAACTTAGAAAAAAGATGGCAAAGTAGTGTCTCAAAATACTGGCAGTAACTATCTCTAGGTGATAGATTATAGGATGGTATTTAAAAGTTAAATTTCTCTGTACTTATCTTCTTTAAATTCTCTACCTTAAACATACTACTTTATATTCAGGAAATAACCTAACTTTTAAAAACTAGTATTTTGATATCATTTCTAGCAAAGAATAAAACATATCCCAAATCACTAAAATAAGCAGGTTATAGACTAACTCTACATGGATTATCTCTTCTTTTATCAAGAAATATCATTTAAAAATTTTAAAACCTTCCACCTAATTAATACCTTGTATAAATACATCCAATTCCATCCCAAACTGATGAGGAAACTGATGAGTAAAATACGTCTCAACTGGGTGTACCAACGAACATACGTCCAGAGCTGGGTGGCTACTAGCATCACGATGCAGAGCAGACACAGAAGCACCTCAAACAGAAGGAAGAGACAGCAGAGTCACTGCCGCGCCGTCCTCCCCACCAAACCACAGCACCAACAAAAACTAAAAACTGGACTCAAATGTGCAAAATCGCCCTGGCTGGTTTGCCTCAGTGGATAGAGCATCAGCCTGCGAATCGAAGGGTCCTGGGTTCGATTCCCGGTCAGGGCACATGCCGGGTTGCAGGCTCCATCCCCAGTGTGAGGCGTGCAGGAGGCAGCCGATCCATGACTCTCTCTCTCATCATTGATGTTTCTAGCTCTCTCTCCCTCTCCCTTCCTCTCTGAAATCAATAAAAATATATTTTTTTAAATATGCAAAATCATTTGTACCATTTTGCTGAAAGTTCATCAACACAGTATGAGTGACTTAGTCCAGGTTCTTAACACAATTATGGTGGAGTTTGAACAGTAGTTTTTTAAAACCTGTTAACCGTGCCCCCCTCACCCAGCCTACCATAAACACATCATATGGATCCACGCCAAAGGAATCTTCAAATCGCCACTTCCATCTTTCAAAATCATGCAACTTAAAATTAATTAAAATATCACTTAGTGCGTCATCCAGGGCGCCTGGCAGCGAGTCTTCCCCATTGAGAAACTTCTCTATTTCTACCAAGGTCTGTCTTTTGAGGATAATCTCGGCATCGTAGTGCATGTCGCCTCTGTTTTCATCAGGCTGAGGTCAATTTGCCAAAAAACAAACAACAGGAGAGAGAATTTTATTATATTACCTAGTGAAGCGTTTCAAGACGAAAGCCAATTTGGAACCAAATATATAGTTAGTTCACAGTACTTCACACACAGCGTAAGGCTAACAACACCCACCCTCTCACAGGCCACATGAAAACCAAAGATAATACATGTGAAAACATTTCAGAAAATGTAAAACTACGCAAACAATGTACATTTTACTAAAGTGCAGTTGCGCCTTGCTACCTGCAGTAGTTACATTCTGTAAAGTCACCTCCAACACTAAGGGGCCCGCACTAAGCCATGGCTCCTCAGGGACACGCAGGGCTCGGTTCCTGCGCACGGGATGTGCACAGCATCCACCCTCTAAACGCAGCGCTTGCACATACACAGCCTGGGGGAAACGACTTAAACGCGTTTCCTCTCCTCAACGGGCAGCGCTCTCATCACCTGCGCGAGCAGGTGTGGAAGTGGGAGAAAACCAGTCAAGGCCGGGCGGAATTTCCTCAACCCAGTCGGGAGTGTAAGTTTCCAACTGTTTGGTCAAGTTCAAACAGCAAATTTAAAACAGCACCCACCCCCAACTGCATTAAATGGTTGGGCACAGGGTTGAGGAAGTAAATCCCCATGAACGAGAAGGAAGAGAGGAGCGGCCTGCACTGCCTTCCGCCAAACCTCTGCACGAACAGGTTCCGGTCCCAGGCTCAGCCCGGAGTTCGGTTACAGCACAATGAGGCTCCCTCACTGCTTTGTATAACTGGGAATTAATAGATAATGAAGATACCCACTACCTTGATTAGTATCACACCACCAATACTCACAAGACCAAGCTTCCTGGCTTCAATTAAAATCTTATTTAAGTATCTCCTAAAAACAGGATTATTTTGACTTTCAGAGTCTTTCCTCTTTTTCTTTTCACATTCATCAACCTGTAATCATACACCAAAAAATCAACAGTTAGCATCAAGTTTAATGTAAGGGTCAAGTTTCTAACCTAGTGGCCCCATCAAAACCAAGGTAAAGCGCTGTTTGTTTGGTTTTTCACGTTTTACTGATTTTTAGAGAGAGAGAGAGGCAGGGAGAGAAACATCAATGTGAGATTGGAACACTGAGCAGCTGCCTCCTGCATGACCCCTTTGGGGATCAAGCCTGCAGTCTGGGCATGTGCCCTGCCTGGGAATGGAACCGGCAACCTTTCAGTGCACAGGGCGACACCCAACCATTGAGCCACACCAGCCGGGGCAGGTGCCGCCTACTGTTGTTAAGCTTGCGTTACAAGGTAGAGCTTGCCTGCTGCCTGGGGCTCTCTCTTTGCGAAGGTCAGGCAGACTACCAATGAGGAACACACGCACAGCACTTAGCTGTGACCAGCAGTTTTTCCACTGACTTTCAGCTATTTTAAAGCTGAAGATCATAAAGTAAGGGGGCAGTGATGTGGACAAGCAGAACATCTGGACCAATGTGTCTCTTTGTAATGGCAGACAGTGAGGAGGAAAAGAGAAGAAGGGGGGGAGGGAGGGAGTGGGGATAAAGAAGCACAGAGAAACAGGATGAAGCCAGGAGGAGACACAGCAAAGAATTTCCTGAATGGGCCTGTTACTTTGGCCTTTTAGTAACTTCTTCTGTCAACGACTGACCACTCCCTCTGCACGGTCGCCTCGGAGGACAGGAACCATGGCTTCGTCATTGTGTCCTCCACGTGGCAGCCCCCAGCACGCACACCTTCACCAGGACAGACGTCCTCTGAACTTAGCTCTACAGACACTTGGTGGTCAAGTCACCAGTGAGGGCAAGGCATGTCTTACACACGTAAACGTGTTTTTAAAACTGAGTGTGGACCCTGAGCACGGAAAGGGGCCTCAGGTGGTACACAGGTAACAGTGAGCACAAACTCAGGACAGGACACTTGAGAGAGAAGTCACGTGGCTGCTTCCACTGCTTCCAGACAAGGTTCATAAACCTTTAAAACAATCATGCAAACTCGGGCCTTGGGCTTGACATGCTTGCTTTAAATTTTTTTAAATGTTTCTTTAAGAGAAACAATGTTGTTGTTTTTTAAAACAAGGAGTAAAAACTCCATTTTACCCATCCCGTTTTTTACAATGTTTAAAACACAGTAAAATGTATATAAAAAGGCAGGTCTGCGTTTGGAGGCAAATTTATCCACATTTCTCTGCTAGCGTTCGGCCCAGAGGGTCACGTCTGCTAAGAACCCCAAGCAGGTGCTTAGCGTCTCAGCGAACAAGGGCTCCCCTCGGCCTGGAAACCCCCTCCCGCCCTCCCACTAGCTTTTCCCACACTTGCGCCCCCTCCCTCAGCTACAGCACTCGTCTCTTCTCTTCCACCGGTCGCTTCGCTGTCCCTGCCTCAGTCTGAGCTGCCAGCACTGCCGGACCTCAGCCACTCCCCTCTCCACCCAGGGCCCTCCACTGCCCCCAGCTAGTCGGCCTCCACACCAACAGAGTGGTTCCCACAGCACAACCTACGTCCAAACCCCGGAACAACCCTGACTCCTCTCCCTTCCCATGAAGGCTACCCCAGCCACACAAACAGGAGTGAAGAAATGAAGCACCCTTATATCTGTAAGAGGAGCTCCACGCTTCTAAGCTGGGAACACGCCCATTTCTCCATTTGCTATGTTTGTCATGAGGCTACTACACTCTAGCACTGTGACAGGTGACAGAGAACCAAGATTGAATAAAACACATTCTTTGTCCCAAGAAATTTTCAGTCTGGTAAGGAAATGATTATAATATAATGAGATAAATGTCATTACAGGAAAATAAAAGCACTATTTAACAACAAGACCAGAGTAACTGCTTAAAAAACCAAGGCTAGAGTAAGCAAAGAAAAATAATACACAGTTGATCCTTGAGTAACATGGGTTTGAACTGCTCAGGGCTTAATCAGATTTTTTTTTCAATAAATGCATTCTGTACTCTAAATGTATTTTCTCCAGCTTACTGTACTGTAAGGGTATAGTATAATATAACACACAAAGTGTGTGTTCATTGACTGTTATGTGATCAGGAAAGCCTCTGATCAACAGTAGGCTATTAATAGTTATGTTTTGGGGGTGTCAAAAGTTATACAGGGATTTTCAACTGTGTAGGGGGGGTCAGTGCCCCAACCCCACTGTTCAGGCATCAACTGTATATATAAATTGCACAGTAGATAGAAACAAAAATAATGCCAGCAAGCACAGAAAACAGAGAGAAATCTGACATACTATAATATAAAATTCATGAATGAAAAAAAAAATCTAACCTTATGAATTACAGAATCAAGTTTGCTGTAACATCCCGACAATTCATCAGCGTATGACGAATCAGCACTGACCTCCTTTCTCACCTAAAGCAGAGCAGAGAAAGATTTATTTCTTCATAGTTCACTTGTAAAAAAGTCTGTAAGTAGAGATTAAAATTTTAACTTCTCCGTATTATAACTTTTCTTGTTATATTTTTCAACTGTATTGAACCACCAAAAAATTAAGAGTCTCAAATTTATATATCAGCCAAGAATTAAGATCAAATTAGTTTGCTACCTGATGGGCTTTACATTCAAATTCAAAACAGAAATACGCAGGTGGGGTGTCCTGAAGTACCTTGTGTGACTGCCAATCATGGATACACGACCCTCACAATTCTGAGTAAACCCAACAACTGCAGACTATTTCCACCCAAGGGCCGATGAGGTCTGACACACACACCTGCGATTTCCTCATTGTTCCGGAAGCAGCATCATAGTTGAGCATGTCCGTGGGGTCAATCCAGTCATCATCATGAGCAAAGCCAGCGATCAGCCACAGACATTCACAAAGGAGCAGCGAACACAGCATCCTGCAGGAAGGCTAAACACACGTTTTAATAAATGTGATGAAATATAGTTATTTTTAGAAGAAGTTATAATTATCTACTTCCTTCTAGTGCTGAGATAATGCTTTCTTTCTGAACTGGTAACAGTAAAATGATGTCCTATATAATAAATGGCTAATATGCAAATTGTCCCCTCGACTGGGAGTTCGACCATGGGGTGGGGCCAACTGCTCACAGCCCCTTCCCACCCCCAAGGAGCCCCCTCCCCGGCCTCAATCGATCTGGGCAGGCCGGCTGGACCCCACCCATGCAAGATTTCGTGCACCGGGCCTCTAGTTCACAAGTAAACACACACACACACACACACACACACACACATTTTCAGAGACAAAAATAGGGATTTTCCATATGATTCTGCAATTCCATTCCTAGGTATGTACCCAGAAGAAATGAAAATATATGTCCACACAAAAACTTGTAAGCAAATATTTATAGCCACATTGGTCACAACAGCCACAAAGTAGAAACAACCAAATGTCCATGGACCGATGAACGGATAAATACAATGTGGCTCTCTCAGACTCTCCGAGAGGCCCAGGGCCCAGGCTGCCAAGGCAGTATATCTAGACAAGGAATATCATTAGGCCATAAAAAGAAACAATTTTTAAAGGAATACAGTATTGATACATGCTGCAACATGGATGAATATGTGAAAGAAGCCAGTCACCATAAACCATATATCATATGATTCCATTTACACGGAATATCCGGAATAGGAAAACCTACAGACACAGAAAGAGACTGGTACTTCAGGCTGGGATATAGTAAGGGGCAAAAACATGGTAGTTAGTGGTATATGGTTTCTTTTGGAGGGCACAGGCCAGGCCAAGGAACCCGACCATTGCACGATCGAGGCCAGGGAAGGAAGCAAGAGGTTGGCCAGCCGGGGAAGGACTGCGGGAGGGCTCCAGGGCATGTCCGGCCATCTCACTCAGTCCCAATTGGCTGGACCCCAGCAGCAATCTAACCTACCGGTCAGAGCATCTAACCTGCCTCCTGGTGGTCAGTGCACGTCATAGCAAGCGGTTGAGCAGCCTTAGCATATCATTAGCATATTACGCTTTGATTGGTTAAACGGCCAACCAGACACCTAGCATATTAGGCTTTTATTATATAGGATTATTGACTAAGTTCTCTATGCTGTACTACCTCTTGCTGAATGGCCCCAAACTCAGGACAAGTGGCAACCAGTCTCAAAGGAGATATAAAGAGTTTCCCAGCCCTTGCTGGTTTGGCTCAGTGGATAAAGTGCCAGCCTGTGGACTGAAGGGTCCCCGCAATCGATTCTGGTCAGGGCACATGCCCAGGTTGTGGACTGGATCCCCAGGAGGGGGCATGCAGGAGGCAGCCAATCAATGATTCTCTCATCATTGATGTTTT